AACAGTTCCAGTCACGTTCCATCATGTTTAAAACCGTCCTCCCACGACCTTTAACCCCTTTTTTCGTGGTTTAACAGCTTGTCCACGTCAGCACACGTTCTCTTTCTGATATGCCGACACGTGGACCTTCAAGAGATGTTAAAAACTATCAACAATTTACATAAGAGTCTACTTTACCATTTGCGCGTCACCATAGGCTGCCGCGCCTTATGCGCGTCACCATGGGCTGCCGCGCCTTACGCGCGTCACCATGGGCGGCTGCCGCGCCTTATGCGCGTCACCATGGGCTGCCGCGCCTTACGCGCGTCACCATGGGCTGCCGCGCCTATACGCGTCGCCTGTCAATGTATTTTGTCACATGTATGCATATTATTCTCTTCTCAGTCTTGAGTTGTATTTGGATATCTATGAGCATTTTTGACGCCTACATGGTCTTCTAGACGATTTGGGATTGAGCAGGAGAACGTGAACTTGTGGTGCGACAGTCAGAGTGCGATTCACTTGGCGAAGAATCAAGTTCATCATGCTCGTACCAAGCATATCGATGTCAGATTTTATTTCGTGCGAGATGTCATAGAGGAAAGTTGTATTTCTCTCATGAAGGTGCATACGAATGAGAATCTTACAGACATGTTAACCAAGGTGGTCACAGGTAGCAAGTTTAAGCATTTCTTAGATTTACTTCATATCAGCTCGTGTTGATCTGCCTAAGAGGGCATGGCCCTATGGGGCGGTGATGGGGTGAGGTGGAGACAATTATATGGAGAATAATTGCAGAACTACGATTAGTTTGATCCCAGTCAGAGGGTACGTAGGAAACCATGGTATAATGGTGCGACTGGTTTGGTCTTTCAGATCTCGCTGGTGATGTTCGCGGTGTTCTTCTAGTGTTCGTCCAAAATTTAAGGTTTATCAAATGATGTAAGAGGCAGAGAATTATGAACGTGGGGGCCACCACACTCACGAGCGCAGAGTAGCAAGCGGAAAGCCCAGGTGCGGGTGCGGCCCACGAACCAAATTTCCATGCTCTGTTATAAATACCCTGCGGCTGCGGCTAGGGTTTCTATAGGTGAGAAAAACAGAGGGTTAGCCAGCTATTAAAGAGAAGAAATAAGGGGTTTTTGGCGGCTGTTTAGAGGAGAAAAACAGAGAGTTTTTCGGATCTAAAAGAGAGATCTTGAGGAGATTGAAAAGAGAGAGCTTGAAGAGATTTTATAAGAGAGAGGTCAATTTCTTTTGGGTAAAAATCATAGCTTTATCTTTGAGACGAGCTTGTGGATTGTACAAGTCGTCGGTGTTCTCATTATAGTGTAATCTCCCCTCACCCCTACCGTGGACGTAGGCAAGTTTGTCGAACCACGTAAATCTCGTGTCTTTACTATTTTCTGGGTGTTGGCTATTGCTTGTAGGTTCCCTCGACAAGTCAGTCCTAGAACTGATGAGAAGGAAGAGTGTATATTTTACTTTGTTGAGATATTTCACTTTCTGTTCTTGTTTCCTTTGTGAAACGGGAATATAGATGTTAGCTTGAGCTTTTTTGAAAGTAAAAATCAGGACTTTCTTCGGGTTATATCACCAAGGTGGTCACAGGTAGCAAGTTTAAGCATTTCTTAGATTTACTTCATATCAGCTCGTGTTGATCTGCCTAAGAGGGCATGGCCCTATGGGGCGGTGATGGGGTGAGGTGGAGACAATTATATGGAGAATAATTGCAGAACTACGATTAGTTTGATCCCAGTCAGAGGGTACGTAGGAAACCATGGTATAATGGTGCGACTGGTTTGGTCTTTCAGATCTCGCTGGTGATGTTCGCGGTGTTCTTCTAGTGTTCGTCCAAAATTTAAGGTTTATCAAATGATGTAAGAGGCAGAGAATTATGAACGTGGGGGCCACCACACTCACGAGCGCAGAGTAGCAAGCGGAAAGCCCAGGTGCGGGTGCGGCCCACGAACCAAATTTCCATGCTCTGTTATAAATACCCTGCGGCTGCGGCTAGGGTTTCTATAGGTGAGAAAAACAGAGGGTTAGCCAGCTATTAAAGAGAAGAAATAAGGGGTTTTTGGCGGCTGTTTAGAGGAGAAAAACAGAGAGTTTTTCGGATCTAAAAGAGAGATCTTGAGGAGATTGAAAAGAGAGAGCTTGAAGAGATTTTATAAGAGAGAGGTCAATTTCTTTTGGGTAAAAATCATAGCTTTATCTTTGAGACGAGCTTGTGGATTGTACAAGTCGTCGGTGTTCTCATTATAGTGTAATCTCCCCTCACCCCTACCGTGGACGTAGGCAAGTTTGTCGAACCACGTAAATCTCGTGTCTTTACTATTTTCTGGGTGTTGGCTATTGCTTGTAGGTTCCCTCGACAAGTCAGTCCTAGAACTGATGAGAAGGAAGAGTGTATATTTTACTTTGTTGAGATATTTCACTTTCTGTTCTTGTTTCCTTTGTGAAACGGGAATATAGATGTTAGCTTGAGCTTTTTTGAAAGTAAAAATCAGGACTTTCTTCGGGTTATATCGCTTCCGCGACGTGAGGGCGTGACTCTGCGCCCAACACTTTCCTATTTATCTACTCTACTTCTTTTCTCCCCTCCATCTATGTTTTCTATTTATGTTTTAGTTAAGAGAAACATAGACTTCTACTCGCAAGAGTAACTGGTCCGGCGACAACTTGGCTAGCACATTAGTTGAGGAATCTTATCAAAAAAAGCGAAAGGCTTCAACTCTATTTGGTAATGCAAAAAGAGAGAAACATTAAATATAACAGTAAGGAGCCTAAGTCTTGACCCCAGTCACATGCTATTACACTATATTAGCTGTTCGATGATACCCACAGCTTGGCCAATGCATTATGTTCATGTCATGGTTAGTCCTTTTCTTCTGAATCATGATTTAGTCCAAAACCAATTTTAAAGTAATTAAAAACAAAAAAAAAATTGACGAAGAGACTTTTCATTTAGTTATGATCCTTTGTGACTAATAACACATGAAAAAAATCCTATAAACGAGCTCTACATAAAATCATTAAGTACATCCATAAATGTTCTGCATAAATTTTAATAGAAATGATAGGGGCACACCCTCTACCACACCTCCAACCACACCATCTCTCTCGCTACAGTGCATCGGGCCCACATGAGATTTTATTTTAATAAAATCTCATGTGGGCCCGGTGTACTGTAGCGAGAGAGATGGTGTGGTTGGAGGTGTGGTAGAGGGTGTGCCCCTATCATTTCTATTAAAATTTATGCAGAACATTTATGGATGTACTTAATGATTTCAAATCCTATGTGCTAGGACTTAAAAAATTTCTTCGTAATGACTTGGTATCATGTAGCATGACAAACACCTTCACACATGCAAAACAAAAAAAAAAGCATGTATACTGGTTGTATTTTAGCCTTATAAGTCATCGAAAGAGAAAAAAAACAAAGAGGGAAGCCAAACAAGTCGATATAGCAACAAGGGGCGACAGGACCGGTCGGTCCAACTGACAGAATCCTTTATCGGTAATATCGGTTAGTCAAACAATTCTGTCTGACTCAAAATATGGGACCAATGGAGAGGACATGTGAGGTGTCCTCTCCCTATTGCATAATGAGTTGGCATGAGTTGGCATGGCCAACCCATTATGCAATAGGGAGGGAACACCTCACCTGTCCCCTCCCTTGGTCTCATATTTTGGGTCCTTAAATCATTTTCCTTGAATGAGTACTCCAATTGGGTGGTGTATCTAGTTTATGGGTCTATAATAGAGGTTGTCAGTCTATGGTTTTGTGAGGAAAGCCAAGCAAGTTGTACATTGTAAAAGAGAGATGGAAGAACTAAGGAGATCTGTTTGGCAACTTTATAAAATTGGGTCAGGTTTGAGCTGGGCTAGTTATAGTTTGTCTTCCGATTGGCAAAAAGTAGGTGAGAAATGGCCCATTTATTTTAGTTCAATTTTGAAGGCTTAAATTGGTTTCATTGTGGACCAGGGGGTAGCTAGTCCACAACTAAACTGGTTCTTACAAGAACCAGTTCCAAAATCAAATTTGGCTCATTTTTACTAAGTCGCAAAATGTACTCCTAGATTCTTGAGAGATCTTTTAGTGAGATTGAGAGATGATTTCTTATGGAATCTTTAGAGATCACAAGGAAGATTGTATCCTTTAATATATGATATAAAGAAGACTCAGATCTCCATCGTGAATGTAGACGAATGCCAAAGCATGTAAATTATGTATCTTTGTGCACTTGTTCCATTTTCTGCAGTATATTTCTCTCTCTCTCTCTCTTTAGTTCAATTATGCGATGTTTTCACTTCGCCCTGTGATCAGTTGGTTTATACAGGAGGAGATCTAACTGGGTGTTTGGTGACACTTTAGGAAGCAACACTTAGATATAGATTGCCGGTTGGTGGTCACAATCGGTATTGAGTTGCGGAAAGCGTGCGTGAAACGTTTTCTACCTACATCATTTCCAGCATGGAGGAGGCCCTCCTCCATGAAGCTTCTCTTGCACCTTAAAAGCACGCTGTAGATCTAGAGTTTCAAATTATTACATGATTAAAACATTCGGGTGCCTATTTAGGCCAACTGGCTATGAGATCGAATGTGAAGACGTCTGAAACTCTGGCAATAAAATTAATTTTCAGTCTTCTTGCAACTACGCCTACTGACTCACCCCTTCAATTGAGCTATACAAGTTGTTTAATCAAATCCTATTCGGTTACGCAAAATTACAAATTGAAGTGAAACATACAACTATAATTTTAACTGCAATTGTGCATTTTCAGGTTAATTGTGGTTAAACTTGGGGCAGTGTTTTGCAATTCCAGAAGTTATTGGGGATTTAATGGAAAATGCTACAAGTTTTTGGAGGCTCAGTGTAATTTACTGTTAAACTTAAAATGTTTTACATTACACGTCCTTGCCATGAGAAGCAAATTGCCAGAAAACTGCCCAACTTCTAATAGCCCAAGTTCATAAAGAGACAAATAACAAATGCCTGCCAAGATCGCACCCACAAAATAAATTTGCAAATTGATGCATAAATGAGTAACTAATTTTTACAAACATTTGAAGACGGAAAACGAAGACAACAGGTCGAATTTAATCTCATCGTAAGAAGCGTTATTATCTCTCCGTGCATACACTCAAACTTAACTTCTATGCCCTATATACCAAAAGAATAATGCATACATAAATAAAGGGCAAATAAATGGGCAAAGGGAGAGCTCTCCAATATGTTTCATGAATTTACAGAGATGGAATCAAGTGGATTATTATTGTATGACGCAAACACATGCTTGGTTGCCTCTACCTTCATCCTCTGACTCTGAGGAGTCACTGCATTGCAAATAAAGATGAATTAAAATTAAGATTCAAAAGAGAAGGGAAAATTGAAGGTAATAAGTTTTATGCTTAAAAAAACAAAGTCAAGTCGAGAGGAAGAATTTGATTATTTAATCCTTCGACAAAAAGCAAAGAGTTGAAGTGCTATAATACATAAATCATCCAAGCATACGAGTGTTAGAATTTTTGATTGCCATCTTCATGCTTGACCTGTACCCAACAACGGAATTTTTGATATTTCTTTTATGTGTACTATAGTTGTTGACATCTTTTCCCCAATTTTTTTGTTACAACATAATGACACATGACAATGAGTTATTAAAAAAATTTGTCAAATATTTTATAATCTATTAAAATTCTCTACACTCTTTGAAACTTATTGCATGCACTTTATGCCAGTTACATTCCTCATAGATCCATTTCCAAAACTTGTTTGATACTCCAAAGATTTGTAAATGTATACATATAATTGTTTTTATTGCATGTTACTTCATAAAGTAAATGAAAAATTTATTACATGTGGTAACCCTATGTTGGAATCAGAAACCGTTGATTTTCAGAATTGTATTGATGCATGTCAATTGATTTCTCTGAAATCTATTGGGAGCTTCTTCACTTGGTCAAACAAACAAGGGGGAGACATGATCTGGAGTAGAATAGATAGAGTTTTGGTTAATGACAGTTGGTGGACAACTTTCTTAACAAGTCAAGTAGAATTCCTAGTGCCTAATATCTCTGATCACTCTCCAGCATGGCTATCTATATATAATGATTACGAGATGAAATTCACTAAGCTATGAAAGCCAGGACCTAGTCCTACATATTTTTCTGAATTTATATGAGACGTATTAAAGTGAGAAACTGGAAATCTGGATTGCCATCAATCATAGGAAGTTTCAAAGATTTCAGGCATCTCTAATATATATGTCATTTCACTGAGATACGTGACAGCTAGATTGACACAGTAACCCATATAGGTGGTGTTCAAAGCTGTCGATAAAGAAGCCCCATACACTTGGTTTGTCCATGTCACACATGTATCTTCATAATTTCAGAGTTTTGATGTTATCCAACATCCACGTTCATGTCTTGTTCATAGACCTAGAAATGAATCAAGTCGCATACTGAGATGTTCATAATTGTATTCATTTAAAACTTCCAAATCAAACCTGAATTTGAACATCTTTCCCTGAATTTCCTTGAAACCAAATTTGAACATGAATATCCATCATATATTAAAATATATCTATTTGATTAATATTCTATAGTTTGTGCACATTAAACTATTCAGTATATACGACCCTTATTTGGTTAAATAGATACTTTCATTTTTCAAAGAGTTTGGTTTTTTTAAGCATTTAAAATCATAAGTTCATAACTGAACATTATTCCTCTATAGTTATGATGTATAGACGTTCTATTCAAATATTTGGTTAAAAATCAATTTGGGACTCTTTAAGTCTCCCAAAATCCTAAACCAAAAAAATGTAAAAAATGTAAGGAATCCCACAACATAACATAATGTGTGTAATAATACAAGTTATAAGAGATCAAATTCTTACACGAGTGTTTGATAAGCAAATGATAAAATATGTAAATGCTCATATCTGAGTTGTTTATTATTACTAAAAATTATTTCCCTTCTCTTAAATAATCTTCTAAATTGAATTTAAACGAATAATTAGACAAATAACAATTGAACTATTTGGAAATTATTCAACCAGCTTCCACCCCAAACCAGCATTCACCTTGGTACTAGACAGTCTTCTATGCAAAACACAAATGTAAGGACTGTAATTTTTGTACATGCAACAAGGACATTATATTCTGATCCTAGTTTTGAAAACTTGAATGTTATTTGGGCTGAATTTCACTTGAATCAAGTAACGAAGACTAGTCACAATCTTCTGCTAATCTCAAGATCCAATGGTCTGGATGATTTAGTATGAAACTGATCCACTGTGAAAAAGGAAACAAAGTGGTTGCCATCATGATGATCTATGTTGCACTTACTGAGGCAAAAGCAAGTGAAATGGCTTTTCAGACAATAATATTCGACTCAGACATGGGGTTTTTCTTGCAATATGCTTCAATTTACCAAATGAGGAGTTACAAGTAGAACTTGAGGTGTTGAACATGATCACCATTGCTCTCCGCTGAACTTGTCAAGGAGGATATGGAGGATGAATGTACATTATTAACTACAAACAATGGGGGAATTAACAATCCATTTAGTGGGTAATGAGGCCCATGATGTCCATTTTGGAGCCGATGCTATAACCATTGTTGTTAAGAGTCTGTGTTAGATTTTTTTTTTTTTTAATTCCATTTTGTGTACTTGATGCTTCGAGTAACAGGAGACCCTCATTATTTTCTCTTCAAACTACTTTGATAGCGAGGATGCCTGTAATTGAAATTAGACTTCAAAAGAAGAAAAGGAGATGACAAATTGACTCATACGCAACTAGTACATATTTACATAACTAAACCCACTTGTTTATGCACGTGTGACATGACTGAATATAATAACATGGTAAATAGTACAGAAACTTACATCAAGGAAATTGTAAACACTAGGATGTTCCCTTCTTGCTCACCAACCCGCCTACACCTACCCACTCATCGCCCACGGCCCACCCACGTGTAAAGAAAACGAAAGGAGAGGGGAAAAAGATGAACGGTAATATCTTTTGGTGTTTGGTGTTGGGTGTTGTGCGACATAAAATAGGATACATTGACTTTTTATGAGTAGAGAACAAAATCACACGAGAACTTTTGAGTATTTTAACCGTTGCTCTGGTAAAGGGGGAGTTTAGGTTTCTGTTTGGCCAATTAGCACTTCAATACCCTATAGTTTACACTTAAATACCCTCACTTGTTTCTGAGGGCATTAATATACCCCGATGTTTCTAAAATTTAAAACTTAGTACCAAGGTTTTAAATGTCGGTTATCGGGGATTTATCGGACGGTGAAAATTCTTATCGGATAGCGGAAATCAGGGATATATCGGGGATAAATAGTATTTATCGGAGTAATATACTAGCAAATAATAAACAAACATAAGCTTGAAAAATAATATAATGTTAGTCAAAATGAAATAATAAACTAGCAAATAATAAGATAACATCAAGAATGAAGAACCATCTACGCATCTACATAATTATTGTTTAATCATGAGATTTATAAACTAACTTACTAAGTTGATATTTAGTAGTTATGAGCCATTATCAATATCCATAAACAAACATAAGCTAATCACCAATCAACCAAGTTCCAAAAGCAACAAATAGTTCATAATTTGTAAACATTCAAAGAGCAAATCTAAAAGAAAGTAAAAGCTCCCAAATCCTACTTATCGGCCGATAAAGCCGATATTTAGAGCCTACTTATCGGCCGATAAGTACCTTTATCGTCGATAACTCGTCGATAAACCTCAAAAAACGATAACCGATTAAAAATCCTACTTATCCTAGCGGAAAGCTCCCAAATCCGATAACTCGGCGATAATATCGGATTATCGGACGATATTTAAAACCATGCTTAGTACTCTATATTGTGTAGACTTGAGAAGTTCCCCCAAATTTAACCATGTGACACTCACAAGCTAATTTTACAACTTTTCATCCTTTAATATTTATTAAATTTATTGTTAAACCCACCATAAATATCAACTGCAAAAAATAATTAGCGTAAGGTTTAAAAGAGAATTAGGGTATGTTTAATAGTTTTCGAGAACTATTAAGGATTAAAGTTTTCTAACATTAGGTTATGAGTGTTACATGGGGGAAAATCAAGAAATTTTTTCACATTTGCATGACAGAAGGTATTAAGGGGCAAATTTTAGAAACTCTAGGGTATACAAGTGCCGCCTAAAACATGTGAGGGTATTTAAGTGCGGACTAGGGGAAATTATCGGGTATTTGGTGCTAATTAGCCTTTTTGTTATCGCCCTTTCGTGGAAAATAAATGGCAATGGGTTAATTGATAAAAAAATTGGTGAAAATGATTTGAATATAGAATTGAATTACTAAGATTGATTATGAGAAGCACAGTAAACTAATAACTTGAAAGAAACAAAAACAAAGATGAAAGGTAAAAGATCATTGGGGTTAGTTGGATTCACTGTACAAGTTATATTTGTAGTATTGTCCTCAGTGGGCAAAATTTCTAGATCCACCCCAACGCACGCCACACATGCATGTGTGGGACTGTGTATGTGTATGTGTGTGTGTGTGTGTATATATATATATATGAGAAAACGGGAGGTGAGCTGGCAGCGTAGGAAATTTCCTACGCTGCAAGTGTATGACATGTGAGCCCCAGAGGGAGGGGGAGGCGGAGGAGGAGGGCGAGAGAGGGGGAGGGGGAGAGATCTATGCTACCATTAGTATTTAGTAGTATGCATAATGTGGATACTATCAATCAAATTAAAAATTAAAAGTTGGATTCCAAAATTTTGCAACCATACCGTTAGGCGTGATCTACTAGACATGCATTATTTAGAAACAAAATTTCTAAAAATTTTAACATATTTACCCATGTTCATATGTTGTCAAAATCAACATTTCAGAATTCTTGTAAGTTGCTTAATTTTTTGCCTCTAATACATGACTAAAGAGACAACGAAATCATTAAAAACTTGGTTTCTAGGAAGTCCACATATATAACATAACACCCAAATGTACAGATTTCAATCTGGAAACAAAATGTTAATGTGAATTGATAATATTCACCTATGGGATACCGTTGAGTACTGATAGACTAGCTCAACTATAGACACACACAACACACACAGACATGCACATATTTATGAGTATATATCTACCTGAGTGTATAATATTACATAAAGTTATATAGGCATATAATATTACAAAAGTTAATTGTTGGATATTGTTTGTTAGCATGGGGTGCTCTCAGAAGTTCACTCTTGATTCTACCCCTGATCAGGAGAGGGGAAAGACAACCCAGGACACCGGACACTGGAGAAGAGATCAAAGTCAATATGTAACCATGCTAAAATTGTAGCTTCTAAGGTGCTTTTCTTACTGTCATAAGCTAGATAATGCCAGAATTTTTAACCAACTTCAAAAATGAAGAAAAGGTAAAATAGTGACAGTTCCCAAAAATTAAAATTGTCTAGTCCCAAAAGAAAACAAAAATCCGACAAGGGAATGAGATCTCAAAAAAGAGATGGAAGCACAACATGAAGAGGCATTTATTAAACATTCACTTGACAATCTTGTTATTCACGCATCTAAACAGGCTTTCACGAGACACAAGTCATCTCCATAAAATCGTGCTAACTGCTAAGTGCTACTTCACTTAACCTACGCAATGAACTTCTACCCTTGCATACGGAAAGATTCAACTGTTCTCTAACTATAAAAGGGAAAAGATACAACTTAACAGCTAAATCTCATTCTCTCTGCCTTTGTCAATCCTCTCCGTCTCCTAGAAAATCTTTAAATAAATGAATTTTTCTTCAGAAGTAGACATGTACGTCGTATGCTGTCTTTTATGACTCAAGTTCATCTACATAGATTTCTTCAGAGCATTTACTAACAAATGTATAATCGTAAAATATCTTCTAAAGTGGAACATAATGCAGCAGAAATTAGCCATCAAGCCATTTAACTTTAAGAAGAACAAGAAATGAACTTACACAGGTTCGAATTCTTTAATCTCAACAAGCTCTTTCCCAACAAAATCCATCCATTTCACCCTCTCCTTTGGCCTCTCCTCTGATCCCGACGCCGATGATTTCTTAAGACTGCTCTTTGGCAAAATCTCAAACTTCACATCACTAGACTCAACCCTCTCACCCTCATCAATATCCTCCTCAACCGGTTGCTCCTCCAGAGCATCAGAAACTGGAGACTGGTTTGAATCATTTTGATGGGCATCTTCAAATTTCAAAGCGGGAGGAGACTCGAGGCTTTTTGGTGAATCAGAGAAGCAAACGGAAAGGCATTTGGGCTTGCAAGAGAGAACCCTCATGAAAATGATTTTGGGGAGCGATAAATTGTACAATTACTCAAAACCCATCTCATAAATATCCTCAAAGTCCCATCTTCAAGATCCCAAAGAAAAACCCAGAGAGAATTTTAGGGAGAAGAATCAAAACAGAAGGAGAACTCCTCAAAAAGAAAAGACCCAACAAACTGTTACCGCGAAATTACGCCACAGAAAACTAAAGAAGGGATAATAATTGCAATCATTTGAGTAGGAAGTAATGGCATCTAGAGCACTAGGAAGGGTAAAAGGTCTAAAACTTTTTCAACCCCCAATCAAGAAAAGCACCCTCAGCAGAAACCCCAGGAACAGAAAAATTTTGAGGAAGCCGGAAACGATAGGAATCCAATGATGAAAAGAAGCAGGCAATCTTTTAACATTAAAGAAAGTGGGGGGTGGGTAAAAAACTACAGATTCAGATTGGGACAAAGAGGTCCTTTACCTCATTTTTCAGTTCAACTGTAATAAGAGAGAGAGAGAGAGAAGGAAACCCACGAGCGATGAAGGATGAAGAGCAAAGGGCATTGTCAATCGAGAGGCAATAAAAGGTGAGCAACTTTAAATGGCTCGCCTTGAAGCCAAAAACCTCCCCCCAAAAAAGATAAAAGACCCACTCTTCACATAATAAACTCTTTTATTTTTCTCCTCTCTTCTGTTCTATCTCTTCGAACTTTTCTCTTTTATAATTTTTTATTTTTTAAATATTTTGGCACATATCCATTAAAGAAGTGGTCCTAATTATCCGAAGCAAGGATTTTCCATTTTCCTTTCTTGTTTTTTTTTTTTTTATTGGGAAGGTTTCAGTCGAGAGGATAAATACAGTACACCCACTTTTGTGCCCAAACTCCATTCAAGAATTGACTCGTGTAAACCTCCTCTTTACTATTTAGGCATGTTCTAGTCTTGGGTTACCTTACAAACTTGTACTTTTTATCTCAAAAAAAAAAAAAAAGTTCTTCGTCTACTTGTTTACGAAATCAACGGACACCGAGCTGTTGCAGTCAAATGGGGAGCTGCTAAGCAATGGGATATAAGAGACGGCTAAATACTGCGTGATATATAGATCAAAACAACGTGTTCTTAGTAACTTGTCAAATGAGAGCTCTCTAAAATGAGGGACGGTACGAAATGAACTTTGACGGTACGAAATTGAACTTTGCCGGTTCAATTGGTGAAAAAAACTACAAAACTTCACGGGACTTCAAGACCCATGAAGTTTAAACCCGTCTTAAACTTGATTACCTGGCGCTTAAACTTCACGGGACTTGATGTCCCATGAATTTTTGTAATTATTTTCACCAAATTAGACCCAGTTTCAGCCAACTGGCTGAAACTGGGTCGAATTTGGTAAATAATTTCTAAATAAGTCGTTTTCTGAGATTAAGCTTCTACACAGGTTGTTTTTAAAAAAATTGTCCTTGTTAGGGACTACCATGAAAATTTGGTGTTAGAAAAGGGCATCTATCTTGGTAGTACTACCTTCACCGCAAGAGCTATTGAATGGAGTTTTTGGGATTTATTCTAAGTTACCTAAGGGCCTGTTTGGATTCGTAGGGGGTGAAGGGAAGTTAAGGGAAACCGAGTGAAGGGAAGGGAAGGGAAAGGAAGGGAAGGGAAGGGAATTCTCTTCCCCTTGGTTACACCCCAATTTGGGGGGTAACAATTTTTATACTATTAGGGGGTGAACCAAGGTGAATGTAGGTGAATTAACTTCACCTCCTAAGTGTTCCCAAACAAGGTGAATGGAGGTGAATGGTTCCCCTAACTTCCCTTCACCCTCATTCCCCTCAATCCAAACAAAAGGAAAGCTGCATAAAGGGAGATTCTAAAGTTGTTATTCAAGTGGTCACATGATGATGTATTGATCTTCAAACACTGGTGTGATCTGGATTGATACGTGTGTCATGTTGAACTCGGTGCAGTCAACTAATGTTTCGCGCATTTACTGAAACGGTAATAAACGTTCCTAATTTTGTTAGAACGTAGTGATAGTCTTCTTAATAGATGAAATATTAGGGAAACTATACGAAAATGTCAATAAGATTTGTGGTTTGAAAAAAAAAACATACAGACAGTCGTGTAAACCGCAAGTAGAGAATATTGAGTTTTCTTCTTGAATTAGGTAAAAGAAAGGTACGTTAATTTACCAGTTTGGACTGCCAGAGTTAGTCCTGACTATGTACCTATTTATATTATGCATGTATGATGATTATGGGGTTGTTGCAATTCTGCGAATTTGTATTACATTGTCATATTCTCTCGGACTCTTAACTTCATAATACATATGGGGATTATTTTGAGTTTTCGGGATTTTACTGCAAGGATTCTCCCTCACATACACGGATCCAGGAAAAGGAGCTTCTCACAATAATAATAATAATAAAATTCACATGGGATGATGGTATGTTGAGAAGCGAACATCCCATGTGAATGTATGATCCTCTTGCGATCAAATTCCTTCTGTGGATCCTTGCTTCTTTAGCTTTTGGTGCTAGTTTTGTGGAACAATTGGTTTATTGAAATCTAGCTCAAAAATATGAAAATCTTAATGTTTTATCTTTCTATGGACCTTGTATGTATATATATAGCCTTATGAGTTTAAAAATAGAATTGAATTAGGAAACTTGAGTGAGATTTAATATTCTGGATTAGTTTCCATTAGCGACATGCTATTTCTAATACTTCCACTACAAACTCAAAGAAGTTACTATGACACATGAAGGGTACTTATCTTTAAGGCCATGTTTGTTTTTTTTTTTTTTATCTCCGGACTAGGGGCAGTATAATCTTCGGACTCTAGTCCTCGGATTTTGTTATCATTGGATTATTTTAGTCTAGTGTAATATTTGTTATTATATGGATTAATATTCGCACTAGCTTAAATTTATCTCCATTGGTGTTTGAATTTAGGGGGGATTATGAATGTTCGCTTTAATATTATAGTCAAAATCACTCGTTTAGTAATTTTTTTTAATTTGTGCGTGAAAAATAGACATATTGTAGTATACCTATTATGACGAACATGAATTGAAATTTTCCAAAACATGTCATCAATTTGATGTATTGTCGAATTTGAAAGTTCAAAGTTAGCGAGCACTTTGTTCAATGTCTACTCTATACATTTTTATCATGAGCATTAAACGCACTATGGACATAGCATCAATAATGTGGTTCGCCATGTCCGGTTCAATAGCTAAGCAAGCAAACATTAATGTATTTGATATTTTCCTAAAGTTGATCCCAAAAATTTGTTCCCACGTTTTTTTGTTTTATGCTACTCGTGATTTTTTTCCCCGGGAGTGGGAGTGTCTTTTTTCCTACTTCCGAAAAAGAAAACGGAGGGGAAAAATAATGAAAAAGCTCACTTAAAAAAATAAAAGAAAAGGGCAATTATGTCGAGTAAATCTTAATCCCCTTGGAAGATTAGTACCTAGATTATAAAGGTAAGGAGCGGGGTGGGTTTAGTTTAGCCCTCTTGGTGGGTATTAAGTAGTTCCTACACACAAATAGTGCGGACCAGATAAAAAAACAAACGTAACCTAATAACCTAACGAGGTAGGTCTCGACTATTTTAAAGTAGTATATCACTATATTAAAGAAAACAAGCAGAGCCTAAGAATAATTCAAATAGGATGTCAAAATTGCGTGGTACTCAAGGAAAGTAGAGTGAAAGAACACACTAATAAGGTGAGAAAATTGAACTTAACGTGCAAAGAAGTTCGAAGTTCTCCGTCCGTTGCACCTACAATTTCCACCGCAGCAAACAACAACAAAAGGTAACATTTGATGCGCACAGACAGTTGACAAGAACATGAATTTCGCCTAAACATCTCACGTGCGAACGGGATCCCTTGATTTGGGATGGTTAAACGTCAACGCCATCCGTTTGATTACTATCGGAAGGCGTAGATTCAACCATCGCCAAGTGAAGGGTTCACGCTACCCCACTAACATGCAGGATACTTCGTTGATGGATGCTGTGACGAGAAATGCTGCCCTCCATGATGTCTCTTGAGACAAGTTTGCACCAATAATAGAGCGTTAATAAACGAAATACCATGTCACCAGAGCAATGCTTGGAGAGAACATATCAATGCCAAGATAGATAACAAAATCGCTTAAACTGGCTCCAGAAAACAAACAACTTGATAACAGTCTTGCCTAGATAACATCACTTGGAGGATTGAAAAAAAAAAGGTGCACTAAAATCTTCCTCGGCCTCTAAAACCGCCACCACGTCCACCACCACGACCACCTCTCGGGGGTCCTCTGCCACCCCGTGGAGCTCCTCTTCCACGGAATCCTCCACCGCGACCGCCGCCACGACCGCCGCCTCTTCCACCACGTCCTCCACCTCTACCGCCAGCCTGAGCTTGCCCCCTGCAACCAAGGCATCAAATTTAAAAAAAATTAAAATATTACTCGTATATCCCATTTATTGTAACGCTACTTTTTGAAGTCAAGACACCATAGGATGGAGTATGACACGTGTATGAATTAGAGAAATTTTTATCTCCATAAAGATCTGCCTTATGCTCTATGATATTGGAGGATTTAAAAGTAAAGAAACAAATGGAATTAGATAAACAATTCTATGAACCTCAATAAGGCTTCAAATTGCACAACACCCTAAGGGCTAACATCAACTATGAGGAACTCGCGAGCAAAGAGAGTAAATCGTTCCACCACGCTAGTTTCCTAAACTCAATTTCCCCTTCAATTTCCTATTCCGCGTTGAAATTGTGATAAAATTACCCTCCCTGCGATGCATCGACTTTAAAACTCAATGAAAATTAGAAGGGGAAAATAAAAATAGTAACCAACAAGAGTGATTTAAATCCATTTTGTTGTCTATTTTTCATTTCTATATACAGCAGTCCATATCTTATTATATCCAAGTCTCTTAAACCTGGCATTACCTGCTTTCTACTGTTCTGCTAGGTTCATTGCTACAGAGAAACCAATTGTCAACTAGAAATTGAGCCAAAAAAGGGAAACAGATGATAACAAAGTGGTGAAGAGATAATTTTCATCTTAAAATGGCACCATGTGTGGACCTTGATTTCAAGCTTTTCCAATTCGTACCAAATCACCCAAGGTCAAAGCTCTTGCTCATTCCTAAATAGATGTCTTGTATATCAAAACTAGTATGTCTTATATATTTGATACATATGCAATGCTAATGACCATAAAGCATAATACATATTGTAATTGTGTGGCCTTTAATCCATAATTGCCACAGCCCTCTGTCAATCTAGTGTTCAGGTAAAGAACACAACTCAAACCCCATGAGACGAAAAAATTTTGATGATAAGTTCCGACAATTGTCACCGTTAAGATCCAACTCTAGTCGTGCAGGAGCAAACCTCTAAACCGATAAAGTAAAACCAATTTGAGACGAGAATTTTAAGATGCCTATAGAGAATGGATTTATCCTACCTGACACAGTATAAGCATAAAAAATAAAATAGAAACAAGCCACACTTTGAAAATGAGAAAAAACAGAACCAACAAATAATAATAATATAGTCATGGATATGAGCAATAAGCTACAGGATAATAAATTATTGTCCTAGATAGCAGATTAGTGGAAGGTTGAAAAGAGAAAAAAAGAAAATAAAAAACCCATTGTAATTTACTAAATAGGTGCATCAGCAATAACCTTGTCAACATATGAACTTACCTGTAGAAGTTCAGAGATCAAGTGTAAAAGACATCATGTGCACCATAAGTTGTAAAACAAGCTTCTATTACAAGCAATCAGGACAAGATCCAGTCATTGAGGGACTCAAATAGTATGACATATTAGAAAGAATCTAGCTGAATTATAAAATAAAAATAAAATAAGTGTGTTTTGTAGTCCATGGTAGTTTACTGCCAACCGTATGATTAGGATGAATGGAAACTTGCTTCAGTTCAAGATTCAAATATGTCCCATGCGTGACAGCGTTAAAATCTTTATATATTGACTATTTGTAAGTGCGTCTCTAGAGAAAAAATGGGTATGCGGCAGCTTGCCATTTTGCTTGATAACCTACCAAAAGGCAGACTATTGGTGAGGGTCACCCTGTTCATCAAGTCAAAGTATGTAAGCCTTGACATTTCTCTCCCTCTTCATACCTAATCTCACTAAATGACCTATCACTAGATAGATGTTACTGGAAAGATGGTGTTTACCACTAGTTCTAGCTCATGTAGTAAAATGCCATGTTACCTCACCTTTTTTTCATACATATATACACCAAGAAAGTAATAACGGATAAAGTAAAACTGTCTCTGATTAGGTTAAAGGGCATATAGCATGACACATATTAAGGACACGTGTTTTGGGTCTTTTTTTGTTTAATTTCAAATGAAGAAAAAAAAGTAAATAATTATTTTACAAAATAGAAGCATGATATTTCAAATATAAAAAAATAAAATATTTTAATAAATTGTAAATAGTAAAACAACATATTACTTTGCTGATAACCACCACAGTAATGTTCAAATATAAATCACAAATTACATATCTCGCTCCACATTCACTATATTCTTCGCAAATCATACGTTCTCAAGGATTAACAAAAATCCAAAAACAAATAATGAAGTACAACAAGTCTTAGACAAAGCAAACAAAGAAAATAGTTCCGAGTTTCCAGTATGATTATAATGCAATAACTTTAGTTATATATAATTCGTTAAACAAAGAATAGTTACACCATGAGCCATGGCATTTAGCTAATTAGAGAGCAATTCCTAACAATGGATAACTGTATCATACTACAACGTCAGAAATTAATTGGATTTTTCACCGCAACAAGAGAAAAAAAATTGGAGGATTTAAAATTTTTCAATTGCCCTATACCCTGTTCTTATCGCTGTTTCAGAATTAAGTTTAACCCATACCAAAAAAACATCCACTATTCCTCTGAAGCCATAATATTTTTAATGTGTTATAGTGCAACCCGCTCAAGACTTCCCATAAGCCTGTTTGCAGGTGAAAAAGAAGCCAAGGAGGCCTGGGCACCGCCTAGGCAGCCACACAAATGGCTTTTTTTGAAAAATGGTAATGACATACAAATATCATAGACCAATAAAAGGTAGGATCTGAGTTTCAAGAAAATTAGTCATCAAAGTGCAATATTTAATTTCAAAGACGGTTGAAACATAAGCATGCTACATTTTGACCTCAATTCAGAAAACTTAAGTAGCATCAGAAAAGCATAACAGAACTCTACATGCAAAGCGATGAGAAGAGAAACGTCATACTTTGGCTGTGGGAGAAATCTGGCAAGAGGCAGAAGCTTCGCAGGGTCAATATAAAATTTATCCCCTGCAGTGTACGAGGCTGCAATGATACCTTCCATCATTTTGATTGAGAATAACTGAAATGGCAAAAAAGATAATATAATTAAAATACTAATTTATTCCAAATGTTGGTTTTGAGTATATTAAAAACTGGAGCACAAAATTTCAACTAGTATTAAAAGCAACACGAAACATTTACTGCATTAAGTAAAAAAAAGAACATAACACAGATAATCCACCTTTCCACTCCAAAATGCCATACAAACAGAAAAGCTATATTTTACAATAATCTAATGGACAAAAATTAGATAATATAGAACTGTCTATCAACAGCAAATTAAACCATAGAAATATTAGGAGGTATCTGCTAATGTCATAACAGAAGGCTTTTTCATAACTAAAACCAACATTTACATCAAAATTTTATTCTGAAGTTACTGATCAGCTAAAACCCATAAATCCCAACTACCAATTTCCCCAAAATCAGAGATAATAATATGCACTTATCTCCGATAGCAATAGGGGGGAACTTAGAAAAGCTCACCGATTCATTAATGGGTCCAAAGATCTCATCGACTTTCCCAATCTGAGTCTTGTTCTGCAAATAAATCGGAGCATTGAAGTACGGTATCTTCTCATTCGTCAATTTCGTCACAGCATCGCCCTCACAAGCATGAAGAAACGAAGAAACCTCTACAGCCCAAAACATAAACAAAGAGAAAATTAGGGCTAGAATAAAATTTCTAAAAAAGGAAGCTAGGGTTTCGAGATCGACCTACGACTTGCCGTGGTCGGGCCTCGTCCTGTAACGCGCCACGTCCGCCCGCCGCACCGGGCCTGCCGCCACCTACTGATCATCACGGGCGCGCCGACCGCGCTCCCCTGAATCCGCCGCCGCCTCTCGGAGGACGCCATGGCTGGTTATGTAGTAGGGTATTAGAAGAGAAACCCTAACCTAGATTGTTCTTGGGTTGACGGCTGACGGCAGGTCACGGGTTATTAAGGCGTTTTAGGGGGTCGTGGGAGCGTGTATGTATTGTTTGTGGGACCCTAATTTACTTTAAATAATGGATTATTTAGATGTTAGCCCCTAACATCTTGGAAATTGGAGAGGTGTGCCTCAAATCCTAAGGTCTTCCAACTTTATGCCTTGATGACCGAAATAACCCCTCATATAGAGACATTTACATTCTAGACTGTAGAGAGTGCTTACGAATAATTAAATGAATGAATAAGATTCATATATCCGATGGCCTCCACACCTAGAAATTTTGTTATATGATTTAACTAATATCATTCATATGACCCATAGGATGAATGAAGGTGAGTTGTAGGCATCCTTCAGAATTCAGGATGTAGAGATCCTATTAGCTAGTGTATGTCTTTCAAATTTTTTTATATTTAAAAAATATTAACTGAGGAGTATTTTTAGTCCGAGGCATCATGTTGCAAGCCCTCATGAGATTTGAGATACGCGTGAGCAATTTCAAAGATTTGAGGAGCTAATATGGAACTTTTTAAGAATTTTAGGACTAACATATAAATAACGTTTAAAGAATTAGAGTTATGTTATATTTTGCATATACATCCTTGATATTTTACAAGCTTATGATTGTCTGCACTTCTGATTCTTTGATACCCCAAATTTTCATTGTCATTTAAGTATACTAAAATAATTGTTTGAGACAGTCGTATGCAGAAGTTTCATTGACATCTAATTGTAGTATGCACTTTTCACTATCGTTTATTTCCTCGTTTAAAATTGTTCGTGTGCTTGTGAAGCTCTAGGATTAGTTTGGCAACTCTTTAAAACTAGATCTAATTTGAACATGGTCCAATTTTAGAGTGTTTATGTAATTGAAAAAGACTGAGTTCGCAATAGCACAATTTATTTTAATTTATTTTTAGGCCTCTAAATTGGTTTAATTGTAGACTAGGGTGAGCTGGTCCACAACTAAACAAGTTGTTGTCAAAACCAGTTGAAGAATTGAGCATGACCCAATTTTTATGAGTTGTTGAGCACACCTTAGGGTATTAAAGTGTTAAAGAAACTTTGGGATGTTAGGATTAAAACAAGTTATTGTTGGCCTTTATGTTTTAATGATGTTTTAACAAACAATTTATGACTAATATTGTTTGTCTAATATTTGTGTTTTTGTATTTATTCTAGACAAACAATCTGTTGGAGGTTGGATGGAATTGCGTCATAACGATCATATCAAATGGAGGTTGGCGGAAATAGTGGAGTGAAGCAATACAATTCAAGTCAAATTGAAAATCAAGCTTCATCTACAACCAAGTCGAGCTTATTGAAGATCAAGATAGCTTGGATAATTTAGTTTTAGGTTTATACTTTGTGTGTAGATACTTTAAGCTCAATCATATACACACATACACGTTTTGGTTTTATAGTTTTCAAGTTTATATAAATATGAAACAAATATACATTCATACACATATTCATATGTTTCATATTCTATTGTATTTTGAAAAATGTTATGTTTTTGGTTTATAGACTTAACAACTATAGTTTATATCTTTTATTAAGTATATAGAATCATTTTACAAAGTTTCAAAACTTGGTTTATGTCAAAACATCAAATTTCAAGTATATCAAGTTTTCATGTTTTGGACATTTTTGCAAAACATAAAGTTTTCACTTTTGGGAAGTGCAATTCTAAAAATTCTTTTTATAACATGTTCATTTTTATGTTTACAAGCATTCCCTAAAGTTTTATATTTTTTGGAATTTATTTGCTATTTTTAAAAAAGGTTTGAAAATCAGATTTACTGTTTGTTTCTGGCTGATAACCTGTTATCGGTCGACTGATGGATTTTATAAGTCGACTGATGAACTCATCTAGAAATGCAAAAGTTCATTTTTTTTGTGACTGATAAACTATCAGTCGACTAATAAGTTTACCAGTCGACTGATGAGGTCTTCAGTCGACCGATGAGCTGTGAGTTGCCTATAACGGTCAGCTCATCAATCAACTGATATTGTTCATCAGTCGACCGACGGCCTCTAACGGTTAGTTTTTCTAGATTTTTAGGTTTCTGTTTTTTTGTCTTTTTTTTGGCTTTTTGTTGGTTTTGGAGCTTGTTCTATGATCCTATATATACCCAATACCCTTTAACTTCTGAGGGTAATCAATAGAGTTTTTAAACAAGTTTGTGCCTAAAGTTTGTTTAAGTGTGTTTACAAGTTTTGTTTGTGAAGAAATTTTCACAAGAGGAAGAAGAGATCACTAAAGTTTGTTTAAGTGTGTTTACAAGTTTTGTTTGTGAAGAAATTTTCACAAGAGGAAGAAGAGATCATCCATTCGTGTTTGTGTGTTTACAAGTTTTGTTTGTGAAGAAATTTTCACAAGAGGAAGAAGAGATCATCCATTCGTGTTTGGACTTTCATCTCATCTCTTTCACTCTTGATTTATAGAGAAGTTTTTCTAAACTCAATTCTAGCTTTGTATTTATTTTGTTTTGTTTATCATTTCTATAAGCTAGATTTTCATATTGAGTTTAGTTTGATTTTTACTCTTTGTTTACACACACAACCTATTAACCTTATTGTATTTTCATACATAGTATAATTGGGGTTGTGAGATTGTGTGACATAGAGAGTGAGCTTACAATTTGTTCTAATCCATTATAGAGAACAAATCATTTTGTATTTTATGCTTAATTTGTGAGATCACTTTGTAATACACTTATACACCAAGAGAAGTTTGTGGTGAGAGACAGGGTCGGTTCCAAGAGGAGTGGTGTCGGTAGTAAAGCCTAGAGAGAGATCGTAAATCCGAACACTTGAGGAAGGACACGGGCTAGAGACCAATACTTAGAGGGTGTAGAGTGTGATTGCAAGAGCGTGTATTGTGATAGTTTTCGGTGAGCTAGAAAACCGAACTTGTGACGTGTAAACGTTTTTGGGTGAACGTTGAAAACCTAATTGTGTGGTGGATTCTCCCCGGGAGTTGGGAGCGGAGACGTAGGTCGGAAGGACCAAACTCCGTGATTATTTTCTTGTGTTTGAGTTTGGCTTTGGCGCATTTATTCTTGTATATTTTCATATCGCCATCGTTGCATGTTTATATCACCCTTGTTTATATTGCATATCCTTTCTCATATATCTTGTTGTACATCATAATTGTTAGGATATTGTTAATTAGTTTTTAATTAATACTAATATCAGAATAGATTAGCATAAACCCTATTCACCCCCACCCCCACCCCACCCTCTAGGGTGCTTTCAGTTGTGAACTTTGGTGTGCAAAGGAGCAAATAACTCTAGGCTTTATTGATGTTTTCCTTGAAACCTGCTTGTCCTTCTAATTTTTTGTTTTTCTACTGATATCAAATATTTGACGTTTTGAAAAATTATTTGATTACTAATATAAAAAAAGTATTTGCTAATTATTATCCAAAGGATAATGATTAACAATTAAAGAGAAAGAATATAAGAGAGCTAACTGAGTTGGTAAGCTACCTATGAATAGTACTCTAAAATCTCAGGTTCAAATCTCTTTAGGAGCACCAACAGAAATTTACTTTCCCAGAATAATTAAGACGTATGTTAGGGGGTGCCCCTTAGCCATGACCCAGGTTTGATACCATAGTCCGACGGATTTTGAGCAAGGTCCCTCATCAAACCATAAAATAAAAAATAAAAAAATGAGAGAGAGAGAGAGAGAGAGAGAGAGAGAGAGAGAGTGAGGAGAGTGAGTGGGCTCCATGCACACTAAGGGGCTAATTTGGTATTACTAAAAATTATAATAAGTTACTTATAAAAACATATTATAGAAGAAATTTATATAGATTACTAAAATAGCTATTTGATAATGAAATATTAAAAATAGCATAAAAAGTAGCTAATGTGTTTGATAGAATTGTGCTTAATGATTACTGTTGAAAGATAAAACGTATATTTTTTCTATAAACTAAAAAAAGGCAAAAGCTGCTTTTATAAGTGTAGGCGTATAAAACTGCTTATAGGTCCCTTGACACAGCTCGGCACGGTGATTCAACAAACCAACGAACCATCGGGCGATATATCCAAACACGATCGTTGGACCACAACACCGAAGCCAAGTGACACGCGGCAAAGCGGATTAACGAGGCGACGAGGCTAACGAACCGCACGCAAACAACGGAATAAATCCACTCGCGTGCGGAATCAAGCTAGCAGTTCGGTGAGTCAACGAGTCATCCAACTGTATAACGGATTCGAACTCGAATACCGAAGCGGGTTTACTGCCAAATCGGGATCCGGACTGCCAAATCAGAGTTCAGATCAACAACGAAACTCGGATAAACCGCAAAACCGGACAACGGACACAACGGCGAACACCCGGCCAAAACCAAATCACCCAAGAAAAGGCAGGATTTCGAGAGAGGAAGATCAGATCTGAGATCCACACGGTAATACTCCGGATCAAAACTTGGTTTTTGATCCCGAGAAGGCTACTATTTCCTTGGTGAAATAGTACCCCCGGCTGTTATTTCCTTCGTGAGATAACACCCGCTATACCGTGTAGATCCTACCGGATCTAGATCGCGCGGTAGTCCACGAATTAACCCCGGCGCAGGCAAAGAACCCACAAAAGCGAGTGACCGCAAAACAGGAGCTCGTGATTCGTTCGACAAACAAGGAAGATTGTAACTTTTTCTTTTTCTTTTGATCTCGTTATAACCGGATCTTATAAAAAGACCGGATCTTTCTGTAACCGATAAACTGTTACCAAAGAGTGCAATGACTTCAATGAAAGCAACAATTTTTCCCGCGAACAATAAGCACCTTGAGGT